CAACAATGATTGAAGTAGACAGTAATGTTTGAAGTAGACAACACTGTTTGAAGTAGACAACAATGATTGAAGTAGACAGTAATGTTTGAAGTAGACAACACTGTTTGAAGTAGACAGTAATGTTTGAAGTAGACAACACTGTTTGAAGTAGACAACAATGATTGAAGTAGACAACAATGATTGAAGTTGACAACAATGATTGAAGTAGACAGTAATGTTTGAAGTAGACACCAATGATTGAAGTAGACAGTAATGTTTGAAGTAGACAACAATGATTGAAGTAGACAGTAATGTTTGAAGTAGACAACACTGTTTGAAGTAGACAACAATGATTGAAGTAGACAACAATGATTGAAGTTGACAACAATGATTGAAGTAGACAGTAATGTTTGAAGTAGACACCAATGATTGAAGTAGACAGTAATGTTTGAAGTAGACAACAATGATTGAAGTAGACAACAATGATTGAAGTAGACAACAATGATTGAAGTAGACAACAAAGATTGAAATAGACAACAATTTTGGAAATAGGCAATGTTTGAGGAGAAAACAATGTTTGAAATAGGCCACAATGTTGGAAATAGACAAGAATGCTGGAAATAGACAAAAATGTTTGAAAGATAAAAATGTTTGAAAGACAAAAATGTTTGAAAGACAAAAATGTTTGAAAGATAAAAATGTTTGAAAGATAAAAATGTTTGAAAGATAAAAATGTTTGAAAGACAAAAATGTTTGAAAGACAAAAATGTTTGAAAGATAAAAATGTTTGAAAGACAAAAATGTTTGAAAGACAAAAATGTTTGAAAGACAAAAATTTTTGAAAGATAAAAATGTTTGAAAGACAAAAATGTTTGAAAGACAAAAATGTTTGAAAGATAAAAATGTTTGAAAGACAAAAATGTTTGAAAGACAAAAATGTTTGAAAGACAAAAATGTTTGAAAGATAAAAATGTTTGAAAGATAAAAATGTTTGAAAGACAAAAATGTTTGAAAGACAAAAATGTTTGAAAGACAAAAATGTTTGAAATATACAATAATGCTGGAAATAGACAAAAAATGTTTGAAAGACAAAAAGGTTTTTAACGTCACTGCAGACTGTTGAGCTGTAAATCAGAAAACTTAATTTATGTCTACTCTAAATCTCTAACCTCTAGTATTACCCTCATAAACCCACATAGGAGCCAGAGTGATCAATACATTGATCGTATGCACTCAAAATGTAGAAGTAGAAGAACAAGAAATTATTATATGTCAATACTCTCCATACAACTAATATTTAAATAAATCCATAATCTCTAAATAACTTCCCTCTAAATCACTACGCTCTAAATAACTTCCCTCTAAATCCCTACTCTCTAAATAACTTCCCTCTAAATCCCTACTCTCTAAATAACTTCACTCTAATTCCCTACTCTCTAAATAATTTCCCTCTAAATCCCTACTTTATAAATAAATTCACTCTAAATCCCTATTCTCATACTAACTTCACTCTAAATCCATACTCTCTAAATAACTTCCCTCTAAATCCCTACTCTATAAAGAACTTCACTCTAAATCCCTATTCTCTTACTAACTTCACTCTAAATCCCTACTCTCTAAATTTTTTTGCCTCCAAATCCCTACTCTCTAAATAACTTCCCTCTGAATCCCCACTCTCTACATAACTTCCCTCTAAATCTCTACTCTCTAAATAACTTCCTCCTAAATCGCTACTCTCTAAATCACTGCCTTCTAAATCCGTACTCTCTAAATAACTTCCTTCTAAATCCCTACTCTCTAAATAACTTCCCTCTAAATCCCTACTCTCTAAATAACTTCACTCTAATTCCCTACTCTCTAAATAACTTCCCTCTAAATCCCTACTCTCTAAATCACTGCCTTCTAAATCCGTACTCTCTAAATAACTTCCTTCTAAATCCCTACTCTCTAAATAACTACACTCTAAATCCCTACTCTCTAAATAATTCACTCTAAATCCCTACTCTCTAAATAACTTCCCTCTAAATCCCTAATCATTAATTAACTTTCCTCTAAATTCCTACTCTCTAAATAACTTCCCTCTAAATCCCTACTCTCTAAAAAACTTTCTTCTAAATCCCTACTCTCTAAATCACTGCCTTCTAAATCCGTACTCTCTAAATAACTTCCTTCTAAATCCCTACTCTCTAAATAACTTCCCTCTAAATCCCTACTCTCTAAATAACTTCACTATAATTCCCTACTGTCTAAATAACTTCCCTCTAAATTCCTACTCTCTAAATCACTGCCTTTTAAATCCGTACTCTCTAAATAACTTCACTCTAATTCCCTACTCTCTAGAATAACTTGCCTCTAAATTCCTACTCTCTAAATAACTTCCCTCTAAATCCCTACTCTCTAAATAACTTCCCGCTAAATCCCTACTCTCTAAATAACTTCACTCTAAATCCCTACCCTCTAAATAACTTCCCTCTAAATCCCTACTCTCTAAATAACTTCTCTCTAAATGCCTACTCTTTAAATAACTTCCCTCTAAATCCCTTCTCTTTAAATAACTTCCCTCTAAATCCCTACTCTCTAAATAACTTCCCTCTAAATCCCTACTCTCTAAATAACTTCCCTCTATATCCCTACTCTCTAAATAACTACACCATACGTTCCAACTCCGTTAATCCCTATCTTCCCACTCTGTACAGCCCCCCCCCCCTTCCACACACCTTTTTCTATTTCTCCTCTAACTCAATCTCCTTACATCTCCTAACCCCATTTCTCCGTCCCAACCACCGTCTACACAGCCCCCATTAAGCCCCCGACCATTTACGCAACCACAATGCGTGATCGCGCAAGCCACAAGCAAACTACGACCAATTGACGTGCACCTAAGCCCGCCATCTACCAGTACTCTATGACACAAATAATGATCTGAACATGGACAGTACTTTGGTCCTCTTTGTACTTGTCATGGGTCTATGTTTGCTGAAAGCTTGAATAGCAGATGGAATGAATACCACTTGAACGGATGGATTTCTAATGTAGATAGACAAATGTTACACAAATTATCGATTGTTTTGATAGTTTTTAACAGATGTATTCCTTAGAAATCGGTTGCATCTATTTTTAAACTCTTGATCTGGAATTAGAACAGGTGGCCGAATGGCTGATAAAATATTGAAATGTTTGATGTCACTTAAAATTACCAATTATTGCAAGTTTTCCGACGGACACCATTGTCATTTATAGGGACAAAATGAAAGTGTCTAATGAAAAAAAAATCAAGTAATAGACCATTTCAAGTTATAGACCATATCAAGTAATAGACCATATCAAGTAATAGACCATATCAAGTAATAGACCATTTCAAGTTATAGACCATATCAAGTAATAGACCATATCAAGTAATAGACCATTTCAAGTTATAGACCATATCAAGTAATAGACCATATCAAGTAATAGACCATTTCAAGTTATAGACCATATCAAGTAAATTGTGGAACCATATATATGTTAAGGTTTGAAAAGATAAGACAGGACTATTGAATAGACGTTTCGACAAGATGTCTTCTTCTCCGGCAGGCAAATCATCCATAAACACATATCGCTCAGTACTTTGTGTTTTCGAAACTTACAGAGAAAATCGCAACTTGAGCAGGCTGGATGCAAACAATTGTACACATTATCCAGGCCTTCTATGGATTATCTACCTTTTCGGGGATTGTATTATCAGAAGCCCTATCGACTATTACTCGTCTCTTATTTGATAAAGGACAATATAAGTGTCTTATAAAATGAGTCTTATAATATGTGTCTTATAATATGTGTCTTATAATATAAGTCTGATAATATGATGGTTGCGTTCAAACCGCTTGCAAACCTTGCAAACATTGCATTCTTTAATTTATATTGCAAACCTCGCATCCTTTAATTTATATTGCAAACCTTGCATCCTTTAATTTATATTGCAAACCTTGCATCCTTTAATTTATATTGCAAACCTTGCATCCTTTAATTTATATTGCAAACCTTGCATCCTTTAATTTATATTGCAAACCTAAACATACATCTTTCCACTATTTATTTTCTTCACTTGACCTGAACGAAGTCCCTCATTCAGTGTCCCCCATAAACAATCCCTCTATTGTCCCCCATAAACAATCCCTCTATTGTCCCCCATAAACAATCCCTCTATTGTCCCCCATAAACAATCCCTCTATTGTGCCCCATAAACAATCCCTCTATTGTCCCCCATAAAGAATCACTTTATTGTCCCCTATAAACAATCTTTCTATTGTCCCCCATAAACAATCCCTCTGTTGTCCCCCACAACAATTCCTCTATTAGCTCCATAAACAATCTCTCTATTGGCCCCATAATAAACAATCTCTCAGCTAGCCCCTTAAACAGTACATCTATTGACCCCCCCCCCCATAAACTATCCCTCTAATGACCTCCAATTGTCCCCCACAACAATTCCTCTATTAGCTCCATAAACCATCTCTCTATTGGCCCCATAATAAACAATCTCTCAGCTAGCCCCTTAAACAGTACATCTATTGACCCCCCCCCCCATAAACTATCCCTCTAATGACCTCCATAAACACTCTCTCTGTTGATCACACGAACAATCCCTCTACTAAACCAGTACCCACTCCTTCCAACAACCGGAAGACCTCTTTTAGACACAATCACTTACATAGCCATATTCGTGAATCCGCGAACAATTTCACGGCCCGGCGAGGCAACAACATACGTCCGACAAGACCTAGCTGTTCGAAGGTCAAGGTCTACAACCGAATGACGTAACGATCATCGCCCTCGATACTTTCACCGCACTTTTTCAAAACATCAAAGATAAGACGCCCCTCCTACGTCACAGTCATGGCCGGTCCCTGTGTACTTACAAGGCAAGCGGAAAAAATAAACTTTGAATGAAATGTGGGCGTTCGTTTAGTTAGACAGCGGGCCAAGAACAAAAAATGGTGGCCGGTGACTAACAGGCAAGGCATTTCTTTGGTAGGACTGACGTCACGCATCCTTTGATCGACACTCGATTTCTTGTTTTGCCCAAATGAGGCTGTGGCTGTGGTGAATTGTGGATTACGGAGATAGGATCCTTGTCAAGCACTGACACATTAATGAGTTATTTGTTGTTGGAGCTGTCAGTGTCAACCAATCGATCAACAAGGGTATCGGGGGTATTGGATATAGGTCGTGTTACAGGTAGACTACTGGATAGTGGTGGAGGTCATTTGATTTTGATACGACAATATTACAATGGGAAACTATCTGTTCGGCTGTAGCTGATTTTGTTATGCTTGGCACATTGAAGACAACGTGCGTAGAGCAGTTTTTCTCTCAGTAGTGTTTAGTGTCATACTGGAACTAGTGAAGGTAAGACACTTTACCATTTACCACTAACGAGTCACGGTACGACACTTTAAGATTTAACATTAATGACGGAAGGAAAGACAGTATAAGATTTAACACTAATTAGTGAAGGTAAGACAGTGTAAGATTTAACATTAACGACAGAAGGAAAGACAGTATAAGATCTAAAACTAATTAGTGAAGGTAAGACATTGTAAGATTTAACATTAACGACAGAAGGAAAGACAGTATAAGATCTAAAACTAATTAGTGAAGGTAAGACATTGTAAGATTTAACATTAGCGACGAAGGAAAGACAGTATAAGATCTAACACTAATTAGTGAAGGTAAGACAGTGTAAGATTTAACACTACCTAGTGGCGATAAGTTAAGTAGTTGATAAGAACTAGTGAAGCGAAGAAGGTATAACATTCGAACTTACTAGTGAAGGTAAGACAGTGGATATGAAATAGCGTAAGAAGGGTGAAAGGTGATGCTCCACCCATGTCGGCATTTTGGTCGACGGAAGTGACAAATGAAGGTAATTAACTCATTACAAGACTCGATGCGAAAATTTATTTTTCCATTAAAATTTACAAACTCGTAATAGACATTGGAACTTGATTAGTTAATGTTGAGTTCAGACTATGTTTAAAACATGATGTCATGACCCACTTTTTCAAAACGATGTAAAAAAAAAAAAAAAAAAAAGAACAAAAAGACAATTTATTACCCGACAAAAACAAATTTGTCAGAAATGTTTCTATTATCCGCCCCAATTCCGTGTCAGCCCGAGCACATGCCCAGCCTGGCCCACCCTAGTTACGCCACTACATGTAATACAACTTACTCGTTCACCTCTTGGTCTACAGTCTACACTCAAACGTCTTCAGTCACAGCATCTACTCGTATCTTATTTCGTTACTTTTTCTCCGGTCTTTGGCGTTCACCAGTTGAATTTACATTTTTGATGATTTTGATCGCGCCCTGGCGTGAGAAGGGTGTGTGGTGGAGGGAGCCACCCGCCCTGGGCGGCCCTTTGTTCTTTATATACATTGGGGCGGCATTTTCGGCAAACTGCAGAGTTGTGTTCAGCGAGGAGGCATACAATATCTTGACCCACCGGGGCACCACTCCGGGCCCTGTAAACAATCCCTCTATGATACAGTCTGACTTCTCGTATTTTATTCACTCCTTATTCTGATTTAATGTTTTTTGTTGTTTTTTTTTCAAATCAATCAAACAAATCATCATTTTGCTAGTTCATCAATAGATCCGTGATAAAATAGCATTTACATAAGTCTTACAGTAATACATATTGCATTGATCAAGGTCTTACAGTAATGCAAAGTGCATGGCTCAGACGCTTCAAATGCATCGCTACATCTCTAAATCAAGAATATTGATCGCCCAGCCTTGACGACCTCAAACAGCTTCTAGAAAACAGTCGATTTCTTCCTTCGCAGTTCTGACACATAACCACGTGGCATAGTGAACCCTAATAAACACCTGGAGTTGCCAGCTCACAAAGAGCTTGTCGCGTCTCAACGACCCGTTCAGTCCGATTAAAACTGTGCCCACCGATACTAACAGTATCGATGTATTACTAAGAGCGATATATATTGCGAACAATCCCCTTAGCAATATTATAAACAAACGGTCAGAAGACATTTTTTTTTAAAAAATACATGAGATCAATAACAACATTTAAAAAAAAAAAATTCAACTTGCTACAATCTAGTTGAAAAATGGTCAAATTACTCTCTACACTGTAGACCAGGCCTGCACAACATACGGCCCGCGGACTGCAAGCGGCCCACCAGCCCCACTAAGTGGCCCGCAAGGTTACGAAATTTTCTTTATTCTTATTATTTTCTTAATAGCTTCCCCCGTCCTATTTTCTTTTGGCCCGCAAAAGTTGTTCATTATGTATTACGGCCCACCTTACAACTGTATTACGGCCCACCTTACAACTGTATTACGGCCCACCTTACAACTGTATTACGGCCCACCTTACAACTGTATTACGGCCCACCTTACAACTGTATTACGGCCCACCTTACTACTGTATTACGGCCCACCTTACAACTGTATTACGGCCCACCTTACATTTTGAGTTGTGCAGGCCTGCTCTAGACAGTCCGCGCGGCTGTTGAACACTCTCAGTTGAAGCAGAAGTTGGGGTCCTATACTATTTGTTTGTACTTTTGAATAAATTTAAATATATCCAATTTGATGGATCAGAAATCCTCTCCATGCTAACCTGTTTAAGCTACGCGCTGTCCCAAGATCCAGATGTGTACCGTGAGCATGTGTCTGCCAATAGCCAAACCTAATCCATAGGGACTATCTCTGTCTACAGATTATATGAATGTAGTGGAAAGTTGGTAAACATATTTGTGAATCTCAGACTGGGACCGCTAAAGAAATTTGTTGATATTGATCTCCGTGTGTGGGCGAGGGCTTGGCTGTTTAGTACAGCAGTCAAAAGTGCTGTTGATGTGAGGCAACGATACTTTAGTACATCTGTCAAAAGTGCTGTTGATGTGAGGCAACGATACTTTAGTACATCTGTCAAAAGTGCTGTTGATGTGAGGCAACGATACTTTAGTACATCTGTCAAAAGTGCTGTTGATGTGAGGATCGATACTGCCAGGTGGCTGTCACTCAGGGCACCAGCTTGTAGGCCTGTGCTGAGTGTCAGGGCGGGAAGGGGAGGGGGGGAGAGCGTGGTACCTAACCTGCCAGGCTTATTATGTGCTCCACGCAGGGCTAAAAGTTATGAATGCGTGGCACATACCACCATTACATTACAGTGCGTGTTGTGAACAAGAATACAACCGTGTTGGTAGTTACTATAAATAGATCCATCTTGTTTACGTTTATGGATAAGAAGTAACGTGTGCTTGAAAAATACAACCTATAGAATGTTGAGTTTCATTTCATAATTATGATACAAGATGTGTGTCACTGGTTTACCACTAGGGAGATGAGAGTCATGTTTATCACTGGTTCACCACTAGGGAGATGAGCATAATCTGTGTCTGACGCCATTTCTTTATTTTAACATTTCTTTAGCCCACCTGCTGATAGATTAACTGGTGATTAACTTTATCTCATTTCAGTGCAAACAACGTTGAAGAGATCACAATAAATACAACGTGAAGGAACTGACACTTCTCCGAGAGAATAAAAATAGAGAACAACTGAATTAACTTCGTGACTTTGACTCTAGTCCAGACTCAGTTGTTGCCATGCAGAACGGACACGGGACCGGGCTGCTGGTCAGTAACGGACTTACCGTCATCAACGCCCAGCTCAGCCCACCCCACCAGCTGCCCAGGATGGCCGAGGACCAGCTGAAAGCCTTGGAGGATAATTTCCAGAAGAACAGGAACCCCTCGGATCTGGACATCACCATCATAGCCGCTGAGGTCGGGCTGTCTGAAACAGCTGTCATGGTGAGCCACAGTTTGAACGGTTACCATGTTACTGTCTGTTACATGACTTGTTACTGTTGTGATTTTAATCAATTTGTCTAAAGATGGGCTGAGAACCTTTAAAGATGGGCTGAGAACCTTTAAAGATGGGCTGAGAACCTTTAAATATGGGTTGAGAACCTTAAAAGTTGTGTTAAGAACCTTCACAGATGGTCTGAGAACCATCAAAGATGGGTTGAGATCCTTTAAAGATGGGTTGAGAACCATCCACAATATTATTTCAACCAGACCTGGTGGTTTACCACACTACGCTGGAGTCGCATAATTGCCTGACTTGACTGTGCACTCAGCCATCGCCAGAATGAGTACAGCGGCATCAGCCACAGCAGCAGCTTGATTAGATTAAGGTCTGAGTCATGTAGGAGTAGATGTGTTTATGAGTATGATTACTAGAACCTGTTGGTTAACATGCCTACAATAAAACCTGAAGAGTTAGTAGTTAGTGGTTACACGCTGCAACTGTTGCAGGGTTTAGGGAAGGGGAGGGGGGTAGCAGAGATGTAGCGATACGCTGTGCATTAGCATGAGCTTGCAGGTATAAAAAAATTGACGAAGTGTATCATGTGCTGAGGGGGGGGGGGGGGGGGGCCGGGTGCAGTCCGGCCATAACCTCCCCCCCCCCCCCCCGTTTTTAGATTCACCCCCGCATGTTAACCAGATGAAACAGCTCAGCCTCTGAAGTCCAATCTCTTTTAACACTCTGCGATGCTATAAAGGTCACGTGACCTCCCTCCTTCATTTTGATTTAACTATATCCTCTTTAATTTGTTTTATTTTTAATGTCTTTGGGTTGGGGGCTGTGAGAAAACCGGAAGTAGCTAATCGGTCTGATTTTATTGGCGTAATAAGAAAAAAATGACTGAATCAATCAGATGTTCTCTGACAGTCGGATGTTTTTTGACAGTCAGATGTTCTCTGAGTTCTTAAAAATAGAAAAATATTCCGACTTAAACACGGAAGCGCCCTTTAGTGCTATTTATCAATTTGACTGAAACATAAGCCTTCCAGTGTTTGGCCCTCGCTACGCCTCTGTGACTGAAACATAAGCCTTCCAGTATTTGGACCTCGCTACTTGCACATGATGAAATTTCTCCCATGAAAATAAAAATGTTTAAAAAAATGTCTGTTCCGAACTCTTAAAATTGGGGTTCGTAACCCTTTTCCAGAGCCGCAACCCTGTGAGATGCCCACCCCTGTGAGATGCCCACCCCTGTGAGATGCCGCACCCCTGTCCATTTCCCATCTCAACCCAGAGGAGAAAATTATGAGAGTATTATTTGTGTGGGGGGGGGGAGGTTGGGGGCATTAAAAAGTATTGCTCTTACCGCACTGCCTCCCGCACCACTATGAGAATATACACCCCTACGAGATGCCCACCCCTACGAGATGTCCAACCCTACGAGATGCCCACCCCTACAAGATGCCCACCCCTACGAGATGCCCACCCCTACGAGATGCCCCCCCCCATGAGATGCCCACCCCTACGAGATGCCCACCCCTACGAGATGCCCACCCCTACGAGATGCCCACCCCTACGAGATGCGCCCCCCTATGAGATGCGCCCCTCTACGAGATGCGCCCCTCTACGAGATGCCCACCCCTACGAGATGCGCCCCCCTACGAGATGCCCACCCCTACGAGATGCCCGCCCATGCGAGATGCCCACCCCTACGAGATGCGCCCCCTACGAGATGCGCCCCCCTATGAGATGCCCACCCCTACGAGATGCCGGCCCTTCACATGTAAAATCTACTTTACTTTAATTTTATTTTTGAAAGCTTTATTCCCATGAAGTACTTTCAATCTGCCCTCATACCAGTACATCTATTGGATCTATCGTTTGATGAAAAGAGAGGCGAACAATGACATTGTAACATCGAGGGTATTTTACACAGTTCACCCAGAGCTCCTTTGAAATTAAGACGAACTAATCTGTTTAGTTTTGTCAGTGTTGTTACATTGCAAGGACTACTTTGTCAAATATATCAGAGAGAAGAAATGAAAAGTGTAATCTCTAATAGAGCCCAAGGCTTTCGTAATTTTAATGACTTTCTTGTCTACTCATCAGCGCTGGTTTGAACACAGACTTGCAAGATGGCGCCAGCAGCAAGGACTTCCGGCTAACAGTGGTTCAGTGAATGAGTAGCCTCAAGGTTGACTGGACTTGACATGCTGAAATCAAGCCTTGTAAATAGCACGCGCGAAATTGTCGACCTGTTTCTCACATCACGTTTTACCTCTCGTTCGCATTGCTATGTTGAGTCTCCAGAACAAGGTCTTTGAATAGGTCTTCTATCAACATGGTCTAACAATATGTCTTCTATCAACATGGTCTAACAATAGGTCTTCTATCAACATGGTCTAACAATAGGTCTTCTATCAAAATGGTCTAACAATAGGTCTTCTATCAACATGGTCTAGCAATAGGTCTTCTATCAACATGGTCTAACAATAGGTCTTCTATCAACATGGTCTAACAATAGGTCTTCTATCAACATAGTCTAACAATAGGTCTTCTATCAACATGGTCTAACAATAGGTCTTCTATCAACATGGTCTAACAATAGGTCTTCTATCAACATGGTCTAACAATAGGTCTTCTATCAACATGGTCTAACAATAGGTCTTCTATCAACATGGTCTAACAATAGGTCTTCTATCAACATGGTCTAACAATAGGTCTTCTATCAACATGGTCTAACAATAGGTCTTCTATCAACATGGTCTAACAATAGGTCTTCTATCAACATGGTCTAACAATAGGTCTTCTATCAACATGGTCTAACAATAGGTCTTCTATCAACATGGTCTAACAATAGGTCTTCTATCAACATGGTCTAACAATAGGTCTTCTATCAAAATGGTCTAACAATATGTCTTCAATCAACATGGTCTAACAGTAGGTCTTCTATCAACATGGTCTAACAATAGGTCTTCTATCAACATGGTCTAACAATAGGTCTTCTATCAACATGGTCTAACAATAGGTCTTCTATCAAAATGGTCTAACAATATGTCTTCAATCAACATGGTCTAACAGTAGGTCTTCTATCAACATGGTCTAACAGTAGGTCTTCTATCAACATGGTCTAACAGTAGGTCTTCTATCAAAATGGTCTAATAATAGGTCTTCTATCAAAATGGTCTAACAATAGGTCTTCAATCAACATGGTCTAACAGTAGGTCTTCTATCAACATGGTCTAACAGTAGGTCTTCTATCAACATGGTCTAACAGTAGGTCTTCTATCAAAATGGTCTAACAATAGATCTTCTATCAACATGGTCTAACAGTAGGTCTTCTATCAACATGGTCTAATAATAGGTCTTCTATCAACATGGTCTAACAGTAGGTCTTCTATCAACATGGTCTAACAATAGGTCTCCTATCAAAATGGTCTAACAATAGGTCTTCTATCAACATGGTCTAACAATAGGTCTTCTATCAACATGGTCTAACAGTAGGTCTTCTATCAACATGGTCTAACAATAGGTCTTCTATCAAAATGGTCTAACAATAGGTCTTCTATCAACATGGTCTAACAGTAGGTCTTCTATCAACATGGTCTAACAATAGGTCTTCTATCAAAATGGTCTAACAATAGGTCTTCTATTAACATGGTCTAACAGTAGGTCTTCTATCAACATGGTCTAACAATAGGTCTTCTATCAAAATGGTCTAACAATAGGTCTTCTATCAACATGGTCTAACAGTAGGTCTTCTATCAACATGGTCTAACAATAGGTCTTCTATCAAAATGGTCTAACAATAGGTCTTCTATCAACATGGTCTAACAGTAGGTCTTCTATCAACATGGTCTAACAATAGGTCTTCTATCAAAATGGTCTAACAATAGGTCTTCTATCAACATGGTCTAACAATAGGTCTTCTATCAACATGGTCTAACAGTAGGTCTTCTATCAACATGGTCTAACAGTTGGTCTTCTATCAACATGGTCTAACAATAGGTCTTCTATCAAAATGGTCTAACAATAGGTCTTCTATCAACATGGTCTAACAATAGGTCTTCTATCAACATGGTTTAACAACAGAACGTCTATCAACATTGTTTAATAAGCCTTATTTCAGCATGGTCTTATGACAAACCTTTTATCAATATTGTTTAACAACAAATCTTCTATCAGTATGAACTAACAACAGATCTTCTATCAATATGGTTTAACAACAGACCTTCTATCAAAATGGTCTAACAAAAGATCTTCTATCAATATGGTTTAACAATAGACCTTCTACCAACATCGGCTAATATATATTGTTTAGGATCCACAAAATAACTTGACAGACAGCTGTGTCTGTAGAAACAAGCATACAATAGTTAAAGATCTCTTGACTAAAACAGACCTGACATTAGCCAAGTATCAAGATGATGTCTATATGTCAATAACTTTCACTGAAGCGAACATATAAACACATAGAACCTAGAAAACTGCCCAGAGACTTGTATAGCAGTCATGACTGTTTAAACTGGGTCATATTTCACAACCTGCTATCTGAATGTTGACTTCGTCACTGTATTTATGTTAAACTATTTATTAAGCAAGGTGCAATATTTGTAAATAGAGTCATGATTTCAATTATATTATCGTATGCTTATTTTCATTGACATGAAACTACGAAAGGTTATCACGACGCGATTACCACACGAAAAGAATCTCTTTTAACCTTTAAATAAAAGAAAATTCTCAAAGTATTCCTAGCTTCAAAAAGTTATTTCTATATATTTTGATGCTGCTGGGATGATGTTGTTGCGATGATGTTGCTGAGGTGATGTTACTGGGATGATGTTGCTATGATGATGTCGCTGGGATGTTTTTTTTCTGGGATGATATTGAATTATGAGTCAGCAGATAAATAGATATTCAGACAAACAGATTGACTGATATACTTGAATTGCTCAACTAATGTTTAAATATAGGTCAGTTTAATAATTTTCTTAATTGGTGTTTCTAATAATCTATAACCAAAATAAAATTTTAACCCAACACAGAGTGAATTGCTTCACTGCCAAAACATTTGACCAATTATTCATGACATAGACAACGTCTAGGTCATTGATTGCAGTTGCTCTTAAACAATCAAACGAATCAGACAGCTGTGTGTCAAGTACTGTCAAGCTATGCAATTTTGCGTTTGAAGAATCAGCCCAGTGATGTCTAACTGATGAATGGCATGAGAACAGATAGTTAGTAAACAGAAATACAACTTGTAAACCAGATATATTTAATATTTATTTTATCCGATGATTGTTGATTTGTGCAACAGAGACTGTCTCATCATAGATGGCAACAAAGACTGTCTCATCATAGATGGCAACAAAGACTGTCTCATCATAGATGGCAACAAAGACTGTCTCATCATAGATGGCAACAAAGACTGTCTCATCATACATTTTAACAAAGAAAATCTCATTATTTTTCAAAATGTGTTACAAAAATTTCCAAATGTTCAGTTTCATGTTCAGTTTCAAAATTAAGGAAAAGTATCAGTAGTAATGTTACTATTTAAATATAGCTTTATGAAGTAATAGGTACGAAATGAAGTCTCCATCCCAATAGGCCAAGAGTTTTAGTTTGAGGCACTGCAAGGGTTAATTGTAGTTTGCACCGGCAATGAGTTCAAAGTTGAGGCACTGCAAGGGTTAATTGTAGTTTGCACAGTGAATCAGTTCAACGTTGAGGCTCTGCAAGGGTTTACTGTCGTTTGCATTTTGAATTAGTTCAACTTTGAGACACTGCAAGCGTTTATTGTAGCTTGCACTGATTTAACTGGTGTTAATATATTTTAAGAAATGCCACATTTACTTGCGACGTTGTCCTATCAACAATCCCAGCATGCAGCCATTTGTGGTGGTTTCTTGATGGTACTAAACACAATTGAACTTCTAGTAATGTATTCCTTATTTTATTCCTTATGTATTCCTTAAATTATTTATTTACCTACCTCATCTTGTTTGCAGTAAAAGGTTTCTTGTCTCATGTAATAACAGATTTAATTTTAAAACAATTCTTTACCAATTTGGTTAATCTCAAGCTATTTACTTGTATATTAATCGTGATTTATTTATAATGTTATTTAAACTGGGATTTTTACGACTTCGTTCTTGATACATTGTATATAATTTTTCCCCAAGACTTTCATAATGTTGACAGTAAACTAACAACATGTTGATAATGATTAGATTAGTTGACCTGACAATGATGAAATCACTGTTAAAAACGTACCCATCCAAGACTTACCCATCCAAAACTTACCCATCAAAGACTTAAACATCCAAGACTTTTACATCTAAGACTGCCACATCTAAGACTAACACATCCAAGACTTTCACATCTAAGACTGCCACGTTCATAGCTCCAAAACTTTCACATCCAAGATTTCACATCCATGACTTTCACATCCAAGACTTCCACATCTAAGACTAACACATCCAAGACTTTTACATCTAAGACTGTCACATCCAAGACTCCAAGACTCTCACATCCAATACTTTCATCCATGACTTTCACGTCAAAGACTGCCACACCCAAGACTGTCACATACAAGACTTTCACATCCAAGACTGCCACACCCAAGACTGTCACAAACAAGACTTTCACATCCAAGACTATCACATCCAAGACTATCACATCCAAGACTGCCACACCCAAGACTGTCACATACAAGACTTTCAAATCCAATACTTTCATAACTTTGACATCAAAACTAACAACAAATTGATAATGATTAGATTAGTTGACCTGACAATGATGAAGTCACTGTTAAATAGTTATTAGCTCTCAGAATGAGACAGAATGATGGTCAAATGAATTGCTTTCTATCTATTGACCTAATTTTGTCACATCAAAATTAATTTTAGTTTAGTTGAAACATTCCTAGAGATAAGAGTGATTTATTACAAGGTAAAATGTTACATTGGTATAGTACAAATACATTCATGACAATAAAGTTACATTCATTGTGTACTTCAATTTTCATGATAACAATATTGTACTAATTTTAGTAACACTATTTTCAAAAGAACAAAGTACCTCTGATTTTGTACTCCTATATTGATGATAGCATTTTTACATTTATTTAGTTTGACTAAGACAGAAATCTGTTCACTTGATGTCTGTATTATTTAATAAATTCCCTATGATAATTATGTAACCGAGTGGCGATAAGGTTTTCAATTACTGTTTGTCATGGCAACAATTGATTTCAGTTGTTTCCCCTTTCTGTTATGCTGATGTTAAATAATTTGCTAATAAAATGAACTGTCTCTTTAGCCCATGATTAATTGTTTCTTTAACACAAGACACATTCACTCACACAAGACACATTCTCTCACACAAGACACATTCACTAACACGAGACACATTCACTAACACGAGACACATTCACTAGCACAAGACACATTCACTAACACAAGACACATTCATTCACACAAGACACATTCACTAACACAAGACACATTCTCTTACACGAGACACATTCACAAACATGAGACACATTCAATAACACGAGACACATTCACTAACACAAGACAAATTCAATAACACAAGACA